TCTCTTATAGCCACTGAACTGACAGCGAGCGTAGGGAAAATAAAAAACCACCACCGGGATTCGAACCCACCGTTTGACGATCTGATAACCGCGAGCTTAACCACTCGGCCATCTCAGAGATATTGGGCTGTACAGTTCATATCCAGGAGATAAAGTCATTAACCTCACTGCACAGAATCTTGCTGTGTAAATACCGAGTGATTAAAATGTTACAATAGTGCATCACGTAGCAAAAAATAATACACATTCACGCAAACAACGGCCGTCAAAATTAAATGCTCTCCCTGACAGCTTCTCTGTACCATACTTTTTAAAAGAACGCGAGTCAACATGGGCAAATCCCCGGACCGTGTCTATTCGGTTCGTAAGTAACTCTGTCATACATGCGGACGCGCCACGATTTGCAAGCTCCCATTGGACGGTTGCTGAAATTGTGCAATAATTTCCGGTTCCAAGGTTCCATGTAAACGGTGATCGATGCATGTAACTCCATATGGGCGGGGCTCGTGCAGTGGGCCTGGTTTAAACTGAAGTGACGTCACACTCACGAAACGGATACACCTGTCTGTATGTCCCAGCTCTTTTATAATATTATGTGAATGACACCCCATTTTTTTTTTTTTTGGGGGTTGTTGGGGGTGTTTTTTTTTGGGGGGGGGGATTCTCTGGTTTCCTTTACTAGCATAAAATAGCAGCCTAATCAGGAACCCAGTAGTTCTGCTGTCTGGTGGATCTGATTTGTGGTGTATAGCTCTTCAGACACCTTCAGCCAATCCCCTCTCTATAAAGATGTGGTTGGAAAAGCACTTTTCCTGTTGAACTATAATAATTCCTTTTCAACATTGTACACCTTCACTTGTATTTTCAGTTGTGCGAAATGTTGACGTGAATACATCAGTGTGCGTCTTCGTATTGATTGTTCATATTTATTCTTCATACTTAAGTCCTCTTTGTCATTATGATCATAATTTATAAAAATATCACAATTAATTATTTCTCAATGTGGGAGTTACATCAAACAAATAAAATGCATTTTTTTCAAGGAAGTTGCTCAAAATTTCGATTTAATTCTCTTTTTTTAAGGGAACGAATATCTTTAAAGTGTTGATATTCCAAACTTTGTACTTTAGAGCTTGAAGTTTAATATTCTTGTTCGACTTGTTTCCGGTATAAGTAAAGAAATGCCGATACAATTTGTCGAACAGTTTGTGTCAAAAAGTTTGTAGGCGTAGTTAATTATATCAATTCCAAACCTGCCTAACTAACTAAACTCTTGCTTCCATAGTTAAATCAGCCTACAAATTTTCAAGTAGAAGCGAACATCCTGCTTTTAAAATTGTCTCTAGCATTGATTAACGGGAGCTGTCGTCAGGGATTTTGGGGTTTTAAAAGCTCACATTTGCTTCACAGCGAGTTTAGGGTATAAGAGTGTATGCATGCTTTTTCACGGTCATAAATGTTGTGGTCGTTATTGATTACTAACAGACCAATTACTTGCTAGTTGCCAACAGGCATGGTGCCACTGGTCACGTGGTGCCGATTAATGGCGGGATCGCTGATCGCATAATTTCTCTCATTAGCCTTGACCAAGGCTATTCAATTTGGCCGACCACGTTTATAAGATGCATGCAACCATTTACGACAGTCTAGCCCCGCACGCACTTGTGAGTGGGAGACTTCTGAGCATGCCTGTTGCAGTTTTTGTCTGCCTCGTCTCAACGCTCCGAAACCGGTCCTCAACGTGCAACATCGGCACAAACTGACTCGACTGGCCACGCGTGGTACGTACACGCGCACACACACATACGTTATACGTGCGTGCGTACCGGTAGCACGACTTACACTGCACGTAAGTAGGGTCTGTGCGCAAATTGCTCTGTGGGTTAAGTTTGTCGTTGTACCGTACGGGGGTCGATATACCGCGCTGTCCGTGATACTGTTGCTTGTTTGTCGTGATTTGCCTGCCTGATAAGTCCTGATTATCCCCCTTCAACAAAAACCTAATGCGCTCCTGGACAATGTAAACCTCTGATGCAATGAGCAATAAAACTGCAGTCACGTGGATGATACCATGAGCCCAAGTGGTCCATCAAGGTTGCTTGCAGCGCCGGTGGAATATGATAATGCGTAATAATAATGATAAGTCTTTTATTCCGAGAATAAAACACTTCATTTCGCGGGGTAACAGAAATAAAACGAAGTAAAAAAATGTTGTGAAGTTACACACTCTCGGTTGGTTACTGATAATATATTAATTACCAATTGGTTATTAGTAAAGACTGTGCGTTATATTACGTTCTCCGTAAAAACATCTCAGTCTGTTGGAATATGATAATAAACTTCTTTCGTTGGAGCTTCATATTTTGTCTGCCTTGTACTTGGTGTGAGACTGAAACTATAATATGCATGTTACACCTTTGCCAACCTGAGAACGTGGAACAGTTTCACGACTTTTTTATAGGCCGAGGATTTAGAGAAGGAGTTTTTTTTTCAACAGAAATTGATCTTTCAGATGGTCAGCTTTCGAGGAAATCTGGTCTGCAACCCCCATCATTCTATGTTTTGGCATAGGCCATGTAATAGTGAATGCTCATTATTAGACGGTATAAATGTAGACATCATGGTCATAACATACCCTTTGACCAGCTTTGCATTTGGTTAGCACTTAAGTAATTCGTCCTGATAACAATTGTCTCCAGTCAGACCAGGTCAGTTGGTTTCTGATGTAATCAGAGAACTTGATAGTCATGGCTGTCATGCATTGGGCAGTGCGGGCGCTCGCAGCTTTCTGTGCTTTCTTGGCGCTAACATCCGCTCAAGATGAGCCAACTGTTACTGTACAACAAGGCATTCTTGTCGGCACCACCGAGACTTTCCAGGAATCCCAGTTCATCAACGTGAACAAGACCATCGATGTCTTCAAGGGGATACCGTTTGCCGAGCCGCCCGTGGGGCAGCTGCGATTCAGGCCCCCGGTGGCTAAGGGGCCGTGGGACGGTACGTACGACGCCACGTACTTCAGAGACGCCTGCGTGCAGGACCCAACACAAGCGAACGGTGCAACAAAAAGTGAAGACTGTCTGCATCTCAACATCTTCGCACCGAAACCAGCTGTGGTGAGTACGAATACTGAGATTTAGCTCTCAATGGCTTCTTTTGAAGTCATTCAACACCAACCAGAAAGTAAAATTTCAGCAATCAACATTACCAAAACTGGAATCAGGAAACGTGAAATCATTAAAAGTCGATATAGTGACATTACTTCATGTTTGCTTTTGATCTGTTCTGCTCTTCATTTTTAAAATAAAAGTCTTATCTGAATCTCCTTCTTGCAGCAAGGGGGTGCTGCTGTGATGGTATGGATACACGGCGGCGGTTACACAAGCGGATCAGCCATAACCACTCGGGGACAACCATTGGTTGGTTTGGGTGACGTCATTGTTGTTACTATCAATTATCGTCTGAACGTGTTTGGATTTCTAACAACAGGTATGATGTACATATATACTTCTCTATCTAAGATCAAACACAATTTCAATGATTTTCTAAATCATGCTTAATTTTTAAATCCATTCAAAGGTTAGGGTGGTGGGTCAAAGGTTATGGTGACCTTCGGTTGACCAAGCAACATCATTGATTACAGTTGTTCTTATTGTTTCAATACCAAATTTACATCTATTTGGTAAAAACTCAAAGTTGTTGGGTATAAACGGGTGATGCTTAAGCATTATCTATTTTTCCTGATCTCTGCCCGACAACATGGAAGGATGGATCCCGCCGAAAACTGGCATGTCTTAATGTGCTTTGCGCGGACAGAGCCTCAACATCCACGGCAAAAATAGTCTGTCGCGGGATAGGAATCCACATTTCAATAGGCCTACTTTAGTTGGGTTATACTTCTTTATTAATCATCGACTGTAAATCACTTATTTATAAACACTGTTTCGTTGATAATGCTGATTCCAGTGTATGCAATGGTTGAATAAATACATGATAGCGCATCCAGTGTCCGACTCATCCGGGGGGGGGTATTCTTGGTTCTCGTCATCCAATACTGGACGATGGACCTACCACCCCACCACCAGGGGTGGCCTAGAAATCCACGCCCGGTTACAATTTGACATACATGTATACATAAAGTGTGAATATTCACTGACAACCCATCTTATATCCTTATCCGAGTTACCTTTTGCAATTTGCAAGTTTTCATTGGAAGGATAACTGAAAGCAATCGTTTTATTACAAACCTTCAAAATGCACTTTTCTGTTCTAAGTAACTTTCAACTTTGTTTCGCTATTTTCAAAGGGTGTTTCATTGGTTTTTTTTGGGGGGGGGTGTTGTTTTTGTTTTTGCGACTGGGTATGTCCATGTTCAGGAGCGCAACTGTGATGCTATCCCGGGAAGAAAGCCTTATTGTAACATTGGACTGTAAATAATGACAAGCTGATAAGAAAATGCAAGAATAAATACGAAGAATCACGCCAATGTATTCACATCAACCATGCATCAACATTTAACACAACTGAAAACACGAGGAGAGAAGGTGTACAATGTTGAAAATAGATTATTATAGTACGACAGGAATGTGAAATGATAGAAGGAATGTGCTGTAAAGAGGTTCTCTTCACAGGACAATGTGTCTGAAGAGCTATACACCACACATCAGATCTACCACACTGCGCATGTTATTTAGCAGAACTATTGGGTTCCTGAATAGGTTGTCATTTTATGCTCATTTACATGTAGTAAAAGAAACAAGAGAAAACTTCCCCCCCCCCCAAAAAAAAAGCGGGAAAAATGTCGTGTCATTCACTTAATACTATGAAAGAGTGGAGACATCAAGACAGGTGTAGGCCTATCTGGTTCGTAACTGTGAGGTCACTTCAGTTTAAACCAGGCCCACTGTACATGTACATGTACATGCACATGCGCTCCAAGTTCATGCACAACTTCAGCAATCGTCCAATGGGAGCCCACAAATCGTGGTCCGTTCGCGTGTATGACAAAGTTACGAACCGGATACACGTGGTCCAGGGACTTGCCCATATTGATTTACGTTCTTTTAAAAAAAAGTAAACAGAAGTCGTCAGGGAGAGCATTTAATGTTGACGACCATTGTGTGTGTTAATGTGTAGTTTTGCTATGTAATGCTTTATTATAACGTTGTAATCACACAGTATAGCAGCAACATTCTGTGCAGTAGGGTTAATGACTTCATCTGGTTGATAATATGAACAGCGAAGTCCAGGTGAGCGCCTTTGTACAGGTTCGAGACGTATGGCCCACTCGGCCGCCAGGGCTTAGGGGCTTGTCTCGTTTCCTCCCTTGCATGGTCGCTCGAACCCTTTTGGGGTTAAATGGATGGGCAGGGAGGAAGTGCGTTGGGCCGGGAACCCCGAGGTCCCAGAAGAGTCCTATTTGGAAGCCGGTAACTGCGATTCCTTGTGAATTCTCGAAGCATACGCTACATACGTATGCACGTCTTCATCAGGGAACATAATCATTTACATATAGTTTTTTTTCCCAACGGTAACCCACGTTCCACTTAATTCTGATCTGAATGAAACTGAATGTCATTTTGGTGAAGGTAACATTTTGAAGTGTATTTGGAGTCTGCAACCAAACCAGTTGTAGTATATACAGATCACAACCCTTTGACTTTTCTAAACAGGATGAAAAATAAGAATCAAAGGTTGTTAAGATGGAGTCTGGCTCTTCAGGAATTTGCTCTTGAGATCCGTCATATAAAAGGGAAAGATAACGTTATTGCGGACACATTATCTAGGTGTTACTAATTAGTTTCATTGACAGGCCAAGAGCTAATTAGATATTACTATCATGAGATTGAGTATTTTATGTGATTTTGCTATGTCAATGTCGAAAAGAAGTTAATACATTGACCATTAATACATTATACTTTGTATAAACTTCTACAACGTGTTAATTATACCAAAAGAAAAGTTTTCCCTGTGGTTCAAACTTTTTTAAGGAAGGAAGAGTGTTACGATCCCAGTTGATCCAACTCCTTTTGTGTCTCCCTGAAAAGGTACGTGTGGAATTTACGCATGTTCCAAAAACCTATAAAAGACTCCGTAGTCATTGATTTCGCTCTCAGTCAGTGCCTGTATGGTATAAGCATGTGCGTTCCTAAATAGCCGGCGTTGGGTCAGCACCTCCTTGTCGTCTACGCCTCGATTACTGCCGGACTGTGGCCAAGGCTGACACCGCTGAGGGACCGTGGACCCTGGAGTGTTGTGGCTCCATGTGGAAGCCTAATCTCGAGGATCGACACTGATCTGCTTGTCTGAACTGGGCTGTTCTGGCGCGGAGCGCGGAGGTGCTTGGCCCGACGACCGCGCTCTTTTAGCCAGGGCACTGACTGGGCGGGGCCTAATTTTCTTCCGTTCTTGTATTGGCTCCTTAAGGTAATTATACTCGGCCGAATATAATTTTCCTCTTTGCGTATTAACATGTTTTTGCCGGCTCGCTAATTTTCATTGTAATTTAATTGTGCTTGGCTGTGCTTATGTAAATAATTTCCTTTTATGCTTTTGACTGTTCAAATTCACGGTGTTCTTGCATGAGAAGTTTAAGTTGCAGCAAACCCCCTGGATTTACATTGTTTTGATTTACTGCTTGCTGATTTAAGCTAATAATTAAATGTTATTCCAAATTAGTTCCTTTATTGTCCTTTGCTCGTATGTTTTAGTGTCTTGGTTCCCGTCTTCTGATTTTTCTTCTGCCGTGCATTTTCCGCACGTAACGTGGCCCATTGGCAATCAGTTAATATCGGTAATTGAGTTAGAAAAATGGCTCGGCAGTATTTCACTTTTGGAACTCAACTAGAATACTGCTAAAATGTACTATGCCATTTCTCAAAAGTTCATAAATCAAATACATTTGCCTTTAGTTGCTGGTCGTGAAAATAGCATGATTCAACCCAACAACACCGTCATTGGAGTGGTCGTAAAACCTCTCAAGAACATCATTTCACTTACCAAACCAAGATCATATTCCTTCGGATTTTTACTCATAATAGGGAGAGTTCATACACAGTCATGAACGAAAGCCCAAGAATTGATAGATATCCATTCAAAGCCACCGAGGGTTAGGGCTAGGGTTAAGGGGTTAGGGTTACGGGGTTAGGGTTGGTTATAACTATTTTCAAATGGAGTTTGGGTCTGGGGTAGGGTTAGGATTAGTTATTTCTATATTTTCAAGGTTAGGGTGTTAGTGTTATGGCCAGGGTTACGGGGTTAGGGTAGGTTAGGATTATGGGCTAAGGAATAAGGTTAGGGTTAGAGGGTTGGAGTTTGATTGGGTTCGGGTTATTGTTACGGGGCTTGGGTGAGTTATGGTTAGTTATTACTGTATTTTCAAAATGGAGTTTGGGTNTTTAGGAAGGTTATGGTTTGGGCTAGGGTTAGGGATATGGCTAGGGTTATGGGGCTAGGGTATAGGGTAGTGTTAGGGTGGGGTAGGGTTTGAGCGTTAGGGTTAGGATCGATTAGGGTCAGGAGGATGGGTATGGGTTAGGGCTAGGGTTACGGGGCTATAAGGTTATGGGGTCAGGGTTGGTTAGGGCTAGGGTTAGTTAGGTATTTCTGTATTTTCAAAATGGAGTTTGGGTTTGGGGTAGAGTGTTATTGTTATGGCTAGGGTTTCGGGGTTAGGTTTAGGGTTAGGGCTAGTTCTAAGGTATAGGGTTAGGGTTCTGGCTAGGGTTAGGGGGCTAGGTTTCAAAATGGAGTTAGGATTTCGGTCCAGGGTTACAGGGTTAGGGTCAGTTCGGGTCTTTGGATTAGTTATTGTATTTTCAAAATGGAGTTTGGGTTTGGGGCACTGTTAGGGTAAGGACTAGGGTTACAGTTGGGCTAGGGTTAGGGTTAGTTTCTCTGTATTTTCAAAACGAAGTTTGGGGTTAGGTTAGGGTTAGTTTCTCTGTATTTTCAAAACGAAGTTTGGGGTAGGATTAGGGTGTTATTGTTATGGCTAGGGTTACGGGGTTAGGTTTGGGGTTAGGGTTATTGGTAGTTATTACTGTATTTTCAAAATGGAGTTTGGGTTAGGGTTAGGTCTAGGGTTAGGAGATAAGGGTTAAGCAGAGTAATTTGGTGTTACAATCATAAGGTCTATCCACCTCGAGCAGAAACGCTACCTCATCGGTTGAAAACAGCTGCGTTGGTCGAAACTGTTCATTTTGTTGGTGATGCAACCGTAACGCGTGCATTTCTTTGTCGTTCTTGAACCTGAGAAAATGAGCTTCCGTTACTGAGAAAACAGCGCCTTCTCTTGGTCCAGCTTGAGGGCTGTAAGGTGTGCTGGTCTGACATTAATTTTGACACCTAAACCATATGTATCATGTTTGCTTTCCAAAATTGTTTTGAGTGATATAGATTTTTCATGCCTTGATTTCCCTATCGATCTCTCCCTATCGATTTTTCATCCCTATAGATTTTTCAAACATAACCCTCTAATAAATATTTTTCCGAGAGAGTAGATGTGTATCTCGTCGTGGGACGTAGTTTAACAATAAACTTTTTTTTATGTTTCCTTGGCAGGTGACGAAGCTTTGCCGGGCAATCTTGGGCTCATGGATCAAGTCCTTGCACTGGAGTGGATTAAGGAGAATATTGGTGGTGAGTGGGGGTGGCATATTCTTCACTTTTTCCTGTAAACCAGAGAGCCCCTAGCAAAGTGACCCAACTCAACCAAGCACGGTTTACATTCCCCTTTGATTAAAAGCTTTGAAAGGTGCGTTCTTTAAATGCGTTTCTTTTGACGCACCCCAACAATTTTTGCCAGGATGTCAAGTTTATACGTGCCCGCTTGCGTGTATGCAAGGAGGGTCTTAACACTGGTGTTAACGGCGCAGGGATTAAGCTCGACAGATATCACCAAATCACGATCATAACTTTTTTCAATGGGCCAACTTGGCAAAGATTTTTGTAATCCCCACCCGAAGTTGAAAAAAGTTAGTCAAGTAGATCCCTTTTCCAACTCAAATAGAATACTGCCAAAATGTACCGGTCATTTCTCAAAAGTTGATAAAATAAAATACAAGTATTGGCCATTTCATATTTTCCAACGTTGCGTCTACTGTGCCGTTTGGCGTGTGTTAGCTGGCGTTGTTTGTAGAAAACAAAAATGACAGCCGACTGTTAAGATTGTCTTCAATTTCTCAACTGCATTTTGGCATGAGTCAGACCAAATAAACGTTACATTCTTCTGCAAGAGTCAGAGGAGTAGCAATGGTGCTGAAAACTAGCCAACTGTGGTAAATATCTGAACTTCAAAAAAAGCGGAAAAATACTCGCGAGTTTCTCAGGCGTTCGTGATGCACGTCAAATTAAAGCCAATTTGATGATTGTTCATTTTCTTTTCAAATTGCCATTCATTAACCGATGACTTTTGAAGACTTTTTTCCCCAACGGAAGGTCACCCCTAAAACGCAGTCGTGAAGCTCCTAGCCTCCCAGTAAGGTTAATGACTTTGTTATCTCCTTAATATGAACGGCGAAAAGTAATGTCTGGGAGATGGCCGAGTGGTTAAGCTCGCGGTGATCAGATCGTCAGACTGTGGGTTCGAATCCCAGTGGTGGTTTTTTTATTTTCCCAACGCTCGCTGTCATTCAGTAGCTATAAGAGA